AATTTGATCCCCTGCAGATTTTTAAATTTGCCCACTTACAAAGAAATGAAAGGTCTATAATTTTTATCATAGGTGTATTTTAAATAATATCAACCATAAATCCAGAAAAACACATGATACAAATGTTATAAATTGAGTTGCAGTTCAGTGAGTAATATAAGTATTTGATCCCCAAGCAAAACATGACTTAGTACTTGGTGGGCAAACCCTTGTTGGCAAGCACAGAGGTAAGACCTTCCTTGAGGTTGGTTACCAGGTTTGCACACATCTCAGGAGGGATTTTGGTCCACTCTTCTTTACAGATCTTCTCTAAATCCTTAGGGTTTCTTGGCTGTCGCTTGGCTTGAGGAGGGGGCCTTATGAGCGCTGCAGGATCTCAATCCATGGCGGTGTATTGTGTTACCAATGGTTTGTTTGATGACTTTGGTCCCAACTGCCTTAAAATCATTCACAAGCTCCTCCTATGTAGTTCTGGGCTGATCCCTCACTTTTCTCATGATCATCCTTACCCCATGAGGCAAAATCTTGCATGGAGTTCCAGACCGAGGGCGATTGATGGTTATTTTGTATTCCTTCCATTTGCGAATAATCGCTCCAACAGCTTCTTGCTGATAGTCTTGTAGCCCATTCCAGCCTTGTGCAGGTCTACAATCATGTCCCTAACGTCCTTTGACAGCTCTTTGGTTTTGTCCATGGTGGTGAGGGTTGAATGGAAGAAAGAGAGTCTGTGGACAGGTGTCTTTTATATAGATAACAAGTTGTCGTTATGAGCACCTTCTTAAATTGACAGGACTAATCTGTGTACCACATAGCCAGTCTGTGGGAGGAGCCAGAATTATTGTTGGTTGGTAGGGAATCAAATACTTCTATTACTCACTGAACTGCAACTCAATTTATAACATTTGTATCATGTGTTCTCTCTGGATTTTTGGTTGATATTCTGTCTCTATCAATTAAAAAAAAACCTATTATAAAAATGATAGACCTTTCATTTCTTTGTAAGTGGGCAAACGTACAAAATCTGCAGGGGAATCAAATAATTATTTTCCTCACTGTGTATGTATATATATATGAAAAATATTATATATATATATATTCACACACAAACCTTTGTATTTGAATGTGAATGCATTAACTATGCATGGGCATGTCAGTAATGTCCCTCAGTGTGACAAAGAATGTCTTAGAATGGCTTTATACTGCAGAATAATCTGATTCATGTTCACAGTCTAATCCATCTGTCACTGTTTGTTTTCCATAGACATAAAAACAGCTGACACTCATGTTTTCATTGATGTACACAACATTCAGCAGCCCTCTCAGTCTCTAATGTTTACTCCAGAAATAGTACACGTCACGCAAATGTACGTTTATAAAAAGAAAGCCCGGCAAGGGACACATGGAGCAGATGTGGTAATGAAGACGCAGCATGCTGCAATGAAGTGCCCCATATCCATTTTTAATCCATGCGGAACTGTCATCATATTTAAACACTTCCACGTATTCTAAACAAGTGAGACAAATGCATCCACTTTATACTAATTACTTGCTGGCTCAGCCAAATGGATATCAGGATATTAACCAACAGCAGTGCCAGCACCAACCAATCAGATGTCCGCTTATAGTATGCAACCTGCAAAAAAATTAAACAGCTAAAGCTCAAAGCCTTGGTATTGGGAAACAAATATCTTCAACTGAAGAGAATTGACCTAAAGCCATGCCTTCTATTTCAAAAATCTGAATCAGTTTCCTCAGCAAAAGGCAGCAGTCAAGTGCTGACTGCTCTGTGGAATGTAGGAAACACTTTGGTAACAGAAGTCTTTGCACTTTAAATGGATCCTATGAGAACACAGGAGCTGCCAGTGATGGCTTGTTTTTTTATAGGGTGCAGGATCCATGGTGGTTAGGGCTGATAGCCTTTTGTTCGCTTTTTGCATTCCCATACCTATGGGGTTGCAAAACTCCCTTAAGGCAGGTCAATTGTAGATCAGAAGGAAGGAAGCAAACTGCATCCATCAATGAATTATAAATGTTTTCAGAAGCATCTCAATGTTAAGTTGCTAGATTGTTCCAAGTCAGCCCCAGAGCATGCATCAGGGCCTGCACCTGAACAAAGTTCGCAATAGCAGCTTCATTAATGTTGCCCTTCAAGTTAATTCAACAAGAAACACCTTTTCCAATAATAATGCAACTCGATGTATTGGTAATCCATGTACCCTGAGCACTTGCTCATATTAGGACTGCTTTTTACCAAACAATAGGAATGAAAAAGCAGCTTAGAACAAGGTCAGGAGGAGGCCAAAAGTACCTGTGAAGGAACTCTGAGCTGAATAAACCTGAATGCATTTGTCATTATCCTATCTACACAAGCCACAAAGCTGGCTACCCTGTGTATGCGAAATGCTTACAATCTGCAGCCCTAACAATGTACAAATACCCTGGAATGCACCTAAAATTTGATTTCTCACCCCATGGAGTATTTAAAAGCTGGCCCAGTGCTTGCTCTTCCTCCGGAGCCAAGATAACATGCTAAGGGTGTTGACTATATAGAGTTAATACAGTCTAGACAAGCCTTTCTCAACCTCTTTACTCCAGAGGAACCATGAAAATAATGTTCAGGTCTCGGGGGGAGCCAATGTGGGGGTCAATGGGAAAATACCCATGTACATCAATGGAAAGTGGGAAGAATGCCCCAATTGCAGTGGTGGAAAGAATGTCACCCTTATAGGCTGTGAAAAAAGACCATTGGTGTCATGCAGCTGGCTCTGCCAATTGGCAACATCCACAAAATTTTGCAGCCACTATCAAATGGGAGGTCAATCAGCCACACTTCAAGGAACCCATAGCAACCTATGGAGGAACCTATGGATGAAAATGATCTAAACCCTTGGTTCTCAACTGGTGGGTCGTGACCCAAAAGTGGGTCACGACCCCGTGTTTAGTAGGTCACCGCATGCCTTCCACTTTTCTAGGTGAGAGGCTCCTCATCCTCCCCCGTAGCGCAGCACTGTCAGTTCTCACACCAAGCAGCCATTCAAAATATGCTGCCCAGTGCTGAGTGTCAGCTTGAGATTGGGTAGCCTAGGGCTATGGCCGTGAGAGAGCTCCAGCCATATGTGGATTGCTTACAGCTCCCTCACGTGTCCTGTAGATGACACGTAAGGTAGAGAGACTGGGTGGATTTAAAAAAAAAAAAAAGAGCGTGTGTGAGAATGTCTGTATGTGTGAGATTGTGTCTGTGGTTGTGTGTGTCTGCCAGTGTTTTTGAGGGCCAATTCACACTAGTACAGTGCAATAATTGCACACTCCCACGTGACCATGCAATTGCACCTACAGCACATTCTGGTGTGGGAGGTGCAGTGAATTGACATTGATTTAAATGACACCCCAAACGCATCTCCCACCCACAGTTCTATCGCCCGCTGTACCGCAATGCCGTGTGTTTCATTGCAGTGCAACTTGGGTCACGACCTAATGACCGAGGACAAATGTGGGTCCTGAGGTTACACAGGTTGAGAACCACTGATCTAAACACGTAACCCCTCCTATGTGAGTATGTACCTGAGCCCCGGAGCCCCTTCAATGTTGAGAGCCAGCACGCAGCCATGTTGAGAGCCAGCACGCAGCCATGTTGAGAGCCTGCAAGCAGCTATGTTGAGAGCCAGCACGCAACCATGTTGAGAGCCAGCACGCAGCCATGTTGAGAGCCAGCACGTAGCCATGTTGAGAGCCAGCACGCAGCCATGTTGAGAGCCTGCACGCAGCCATGTTGAGAGCCTGCACGCAGCCCTGGTGAGACCCTGCACGCAGCCCTGGTGAGCAACACACAGTATGGAGCTTCATATTATTCTGCATTGCTGTATATTGTATTGCTGGGATTTGTAGCCCTTCTACAGCTTGGAGTCAGTGGCAGAACTACCAGGGTCACAGCGGTTGCAGCTGGGACCAGGCCCTGGCGCTCCACCACTGTCCTAATATCATTAGTCTGTATTGTTTTAGAAGAACTGTCACATGACACTAAAAAGGTATCGGTAATTGGTAATGACTTGAGGACAAGTATCGGTACTCGTACACGGTCTGGAAAAAATAGTATCAGTGGTGCATCCCTATTACAGATGCAAAAACAGTTTACTTTCATTTTTATAAAAATAGTGAGTTTTGAGACCAGGGATTTTGGGCAACATAAGACATAAAAAAGGAGCAGATAGGAGGAGATATATAATAAGATATAATAAGCACCAACCTGTTAGGAATCTTAGAGATGTCTATTTTCTCTTTTGCCTGGACATACGGAATCACTACTACTTTCTTCAAGTCTGGTAATCCTGAGGAAAATGACAGAGACAAATTACATTTCAGAAGGTGACAGGTGTACAAGAAGAAAATACAAGCTGACTACAAATAAATGCTGAACAGAATAAAACACATAAATGGCGCAAAAGGTTGTCATGTGACTGTTAACAAAGGTTCTTTAAGTAAGGTTTTCCATACTTACTAAGGCTCAACAAAACTTCTTACATTACATGTGCAGCCAAAGGTTGGTGTACAGCAAACTGCTCCAGAACTTAAATGCCAATGCAGAAATGTAAAAGCACTTTTGTGAATGAGATTTCTTACCTTGCAATATTCTGTAGTTCTTTTTATCAATTAGTGTAGCACCCATGGAATATTTCACCCCTTGCCCATATTCTCCTTTTTAGGGCTTACACATCTTAATTTACTTTTCATAATACCCTCTCTACCTGGGGGGGG